AAAGAGAGGGTAGGTTGACGCGGCTAGTACCTGCTAAACTAAGACGGATTTTGGTAAATCAGATACCTTGCAAGAAAAAGAGAGGGTGGGTGGGTGGGGTACTAGCAGCTTCTAAGACAAAATTGATTTTAGCAGCTACTAGCCCCGCCTCTCTTGTCTTAGAGAATAACTTATTTGCCAAAATCTGTCTTACCTTAGCAGCTGCTACTCCCCCCCCCCTCTCTTTCTTAGAGGATATGTCATGCTAAAATAAGACAGATTTTGGCAAATGAGATGCCTTGTAAGAATGCAAGAAAACAGAGGGTGGGTGGGCGGAACTAATAGCTGGTAAGAGAAAACGGATTTTGGCAAATAATATTCCCTCTAAGAAAAGAGAGGGCGGGTGGGCGATTCTAGTAGCTGCTAACAAAACTGATTTTAGCAGGTATTAGCCCCGCCCACCCGCTCTCTATTTTTTTAGAGACATCTCATTTGCCAAAATCAGTTTTATCCTAACAGGTACTAGCCCCGCCCACCTACCCTCTTTTTTCTTAGAGAGGATGTGATTTTCCAAAATCAGTCTTATCCTAGCTGGTAGCTGCTAAAATATATCTGATTTTAAAATAGGACAGATTTTGGCAAATGAGATGCCTCGTAAGAAAACAGAGAGTGGGTGGGCGGGGCTAATAGCTGGTAAGATAAGACGGATTTTGGCAAATGATATACCTTCCAAGAAAAGAGAGGGTGGGTGGGCGGGGCTAGTACCTGTTAAAGTAAGACCGACTTTGGCAAATGAGATACCTTGCAAGAAAAAGAGAGGGTGGGTGGGTGGGGTACGAGTAGCTGGTAGGATTAAACTGATTTTAGCAGCTACTAGCCCCGCCCACCCACCCTCTCTTGTCTTAGAGGATATTTTATTTGCCAAAATCAGTCTTATCTTAGCAGCTACTACCCCCTTCACGCTCTATGGGGGTATGTCATGGTAAAATAAACAGATTTTGGCAAATGAGATGTCTTGTAAGAAAAGAGAGGGTGCGTAGGTGGTAAGAAGAGAGCGGGTGGGCGGGGTTAGTACCTGCTAAAGTCAGTTTTATCATAGCAGTTACTAGCCCCGCCCACCCACCCTCTCTTTTCTTAGAAAGTATGTGATTTTCCAAAATCAGCCTTATCCCAGCTGGTAGCTGCTGAAATGTGAGATATATCTGATTTTGGCAAATAAGATATCCCCTAAGACAAGAAAGGGCTGGTGGGCGGGGCTAATACCTGTTAAAGTAAGACCGATTTTGGCAAATGAGATACCTTGCAAGAAAACGAGGGGGTGGGTGGGTGGGGTACTAGTTTCTGCCAAGATAAGATTGATTTTGGCAAATAAGATATCCTCTAAGACAAGAGAGGGGCGGGTGGGCGGGGCTAGTAGTAGCTGCTAAAATCAGTTTTATCTTAGCAGCTACTAGCACGCCACCCACCCACCCTCTCTTTTTCTTGCAAGGTATCTCATTTGCCGAAATCCGTCTTACTTTAGCAGCTACTAGCCTTGTCTTAGAAGATATCTTATTTGGCAAAATCAGTCTTATCTTGACAGCTACTACCCCCCACGCTCTTTTTCTTAGAGGGTATGCCATGGTAAAATAAGACAGAATTTGGCAGATGAGATGCTTTATAAGAAAAAGAGAGGGTGGGTGAGTGGAGCTAGTAGTTGCTAATATAAAACTGATTTTAGCAGGTACTATCCCCGCCCACCAGCTCTCTATTTTTTAGAGAGATCTCATTTGCCAAAATCAGTCTTATCTTGACAGGTACTATCCCCGCCCACCCACCCTCTCCTTTCTCAGAGAGTATGTGATTTTCCAAAATCAGTCTTATCCTAGGTAGTAACTGCTGAGATATTTCAGATTTTGGCAAATGACATACCTTCCAAGAAAAGAAAGGGTGGGTGGGCGGGGCTAGTATCTGCTAAAGTAAGACCGATTTTGGCAAATGAGATACTTTGCAAGATAAAGAGAGGGTGGGTGGGTGGATGGGGTACTAGTTGCTGCCAAGATAAGACTGATTTTGGCAAATAAGATATCCTCTAAGACAAGAGAGGGGCGGGTGGGCGGGGCTAGTAGTAGCTGCTAAAATCAGTTTTATCTTAGCAGCTACTAGTACCCCACCCACCCACTCTCTCTTTTTCTTGCAAGGTATCTCATTTACCGAAATCCGTCTTACTTTAGCAGCTACTAGCCCCACCCACCCGCCCTTCTTTTGTCTTAAAAGATATCTTATTTGCCAAAATCAGTCTTATCTTGGCAGCTACTACCCCCCCCACGCTCTTTTTCTTAGAGGGTATGTCATGCTAAAATAAGACAGAATTTGGCAAATGAGATGCTTTATAAGAAAAAGAGAGGGTGGGTGAGTGGGGTTAGTAGCTGCTAATATAAAACTGATTTTGGCAGATGACATACCCTCTAAGAAGAGAGAGGGTGAGTGGGCGGGGCTAGTAGCTGCTAAGATAAAACTAATTTTAACAGGTACTATCCCCGCCCACCAGCTCTCTATTTTTTAGAAAGATCTCATTTGCCAAAATCAGTCTTATCTTGACAGGTACTAGCCCCGCCCACTCACCCTCTATTTTTTTAGAGAGTATGTGATGTTCCAAAATCAGTCTTATCCTAGATAGTAGCTGCTGAGATATTTCAGATTTTGTCAAATGACATACCCTCCAAGAAAAGAGAGGGTAGGTGGACGCGGCTAGTACGTGCCAAAGTAAGACGGATTTTGGTAAATCAGATACCTTGCAAGAAAAAGAGAGGGTGGGTGGTTGGATGTACTAGTAGCTGCTAAGACAAAATTGATTTTAGCAGCGCTATTAGCCCCGCCCACCCGTCCTCTCTTGTCTCCCCCCCCCCCACAAACCCTCTCTTTCTTAGAGGATATGTCATGCGCAAAATAAGACAGATTTTGGCAAATGAAATGCCTTGTAAGAAAACAGAGGGTGGGTGGGCGGAACTAATAGCTGGTAAGATAAAACGGATTTTGGCCAATGATATTCCCTCTAAGAAGAGAGAGGGTGGGTGGGCGGGTCTAGTAGCTTCTAACAAAACTGATTTTAGCAGGTATTAGCCCCGCCCACCCGCTCTCTATTTTTTTAGAGACATCTCATTTGCCAAAATCAGTTTTATCCTAACAGGTACTAGCCCCGCCCACCTACCCTCTTTTTTCTTAGAGAGGATGTGATTTTCCAAAATCAGTCTTATCCTAGCTGGTAGCTGCTAAAATATATCTGATTTTAAAATAGGACAGATTTTGGCAAATGAGATGCCTCGTAAGAAAACAGAGAGTGGGTGGGCGGGGCTAATAGCTGGTAAGATAAGACGGATTTTGGCAAATGATATACCTTCCAAGAAAAGAGAGGGTGGGTGGGCGGGGCTAGTACCTGTTAAAGTAAGACCGACTTTGGCAAATGAGATACCTTGCAAGAAAAAGAGAGGGTGGGTGGGTGGGGTACGAGTAGCTGGTAGGATTAAACTGATTTTAGCAGCTACTAGCCCCGCCCACCCACCCTCTCTTGTCTTAGAGGATATTTTATTTGCCAAAATCAGTCTTATCATGGCAGCCACTAGCCCCGCCCATCCACCCTCGCTTTTTTTAGAGGGTATCTCATTGCCAAAATCAATTTTATCTTAGCCAATACTGATGATTAACTTTTAGAAAAAATGATCAAAATTTGTTTCCTTTTAGGTTCTAGGTATTCCTATTAGGAAAGAATTTGAAAGTGCTTTGGAGCCTGTAGTGTCTTTTCTTATAATAATTTAATTACATTTCTTAGAGAATACGTCATTTGCTAAAATCAGTCTTATCTTAGCAGGTACTAGCCCCGCCCACCCACCCTCTCTTTTCTTGGAAGGTATATCATTTACCAAAATCACTATAATCTTTTAGCAGGTACTTGCCCGGCCACCCGCCCTCTCTTCTCTTAAAGGATAGCCAAAATCAGTCTTGTCTTGGCTGCTGCTAGCCCCGCCCACCCACCCACCCACCCTCTTTTTTCTCAGAGGGTATGCCATTTGCCAAAATGAGTTTTATCTCAGCTAACTGATGACTGACTTTACAAAAAATGATGAAATTTTTAACATCCTCTCTAGTGTTGCTTTATTAAAAATAATGTACAACGATTAATGATTTCTGGTTGTTATGGTTATTGTCCTAAAAAATAAAAGGTGGATTTCAGTCACCATCGTTATAAAATTACGTGTTTTTCGTAATCTACTTCACAAAGAATTTTTTTATTATTTTTTTGGGACTCCCGAAACCCCGTGCATAACATACTGAAGAGTTAATCCGCCATTTTCCAGACACCCGGAATATAAGATAGTCTTACATGTGTAATTTATGAATCCGTGTTGAATTTTTACCAGAAACGTCCGGATATTTGCAAAAAAATCTAAATTATATAACAACATTTTGCATTATCAAATTTTAAAGTTTTTCGAAAATGCTGGATATGTTTCACTGTAGGTACTTCGGGTGCGAGGAAAGTTGAGTCGAAACAACATTTGGCTTTTTTTTTGGGGAAGACAAATATTTCATTAAAATTTAACATTAAATTACAAAATCATTTTTTTCTTGATTGAAGTTTTTGTGCTGTAGGTACAAGCATTGTTTCAAATTTTCGCTTTCAAAATTGTTAAATATATTGACAAAATGGTACCCCGACAAAATGGCCTGGGGCAAAATTGTGCCAACAAAAACTCTAGACAAATGAGCTCCCAACAAAAATGCTGCACAAAATAGTTTCGTCAAAATCGCTTAAGATTTAAAACCTGGAAGTGAGCAAAAACAACACATAACCTTGACTTGACCTGAACTGACCTGACCTGAAATGAACACATAACGAAACAATGTAAAATAAAGCTTCAGTCTAGGAAACTTAAACTACAAGAGAAATAATTTTTTCCTTAAATATAACAAAAACAACGTAACAAAATTTTAAGCAGAAAATTATCTTCGACACATTATAAGGTATCTTTTGTAATTCAACACCAATAACAATAACTCATTCCACTCCAAATATTTATTTATCTTAGTCAAAACACAACGTTATCTGTTGTTTGCGTCAAGCAAAACTATTCATCAAAAACAAACAAACATTTTTATTCTACCATCGTTCTTTATAATCAACATCATCCTTTTCAAGCCCGAAACGTTGCATAAGATCCTTATCAAGCTTACAACAATAAACTATTCCCTCACTATACCCAAAGCACCCACAAAACGGAATAACATTTTTACACAAAGACTGTTTAAACGGACTCTCCGTCGTCACCGCCGCCGTAGCATTATTCACCCCCACAAAAACCTCATTTTGCCCATTTTTGAAAACCACAATTTTGAAAAAATACTCCGGATAAGTATAATTGTACATATTAAACGCAAATAAAACCCCTCCACTCCCAGTGATAACTTTCACCGGACTCGACTCCTTGTTGGCCCTCGCCCTCACCTCTTCTTCGATCCATCTCCACTTCCCCCGATTCAGATTGCTAGCTTGCGGAGCCGCATTTATGTAATAGTATGTCATTTTTCTTTCGATGTCGGTGTTGAAATCGGCTCGAGGACTCAAGTGACCTCTGTCGGAGTTATTGGACACCTTCTTGTAGATTTTGTCGGGGTTAAACTTGTAGAAGAAGTCTTTGGACCAGGAGGTTCTTCCATCTGTGGAGTTGCTGGTGTTGGTGCGTCCTAGGTAGTGTTTGGTCCAGAAGGTCCTGTGGGTGGTGTTGTCGAAGCAAACGTGGATTTTGGGGGTGAAGTTGCCTTTGGTAATGCCAATGTCGATGATTTTGCCTCTGCCGTAGTTGCAAGACTTGTTGGTGGCTTTAGCGTCGTAGGATTCTTTAATTGTTGAAACTGAAGAATTGTGGTTTTGGCCGGAGGTGGTTTTCGAGTTGCATGGTGTGGATGGAGCTTGAAATTGGAGAAGTTTTGTTTTGATTGTCGTTATATGGGGTTGGAGTTACTTACCAGAGAGGACAAGACATATTAACAAGACACTAACGAAGCGAAACATCTTGTCACTGTGTTCATTTAATCTCAAAGTGAAAATGTTACCGATAGACGTATTGTTTTCCCTAAAAGCTTCCCTTCAATTTATCACCATAAAATATGACTAATAGTTTGCCGACGAATGTTTGAACAATAGCTGTTCGGTTGTCATAAATAATATGGAAAATAACGTGCGTATATTTACAAATGTTTGAATAAATCGAGATACTCCTTACATCACTGATCTTCTTCTACTATTTACATACTTTAATGGTCAATTCAAAACACTTTTTATGACGCCATAGTGTCACCACGCTTACAAAAATTTTTTCTGCTTCGAGTATTACATCAAATATTAATTTGGACGGATATAGCAACAGTCCTTCCTCATATAATTTTAACTCAACTAATATTTTCAAAGCCTCAATAGTTTCCAAATCTTGTGTAGTAACACTTGAAATACAAGTATGAAAGCGTAGTTGGTTGTTCTTTATGGTACTAATGATGAATCCCAAAAGATAATAAAGTGATACTGAGACTGTGAAATTAATCGCATTTCCGTTTTAAATTCTTTGCGTTAGGAATTGGTTTAGGCTTTATAACACTCGTAGTAATTCCGAAAGTGTTCAAAATTTCCATGGATTGGAAAGACTCTAAAGAGTCTAACGACTAAAGATTTTAAAGGCTCTGAGGGGTCTAAAGACTCTAAGGACCCTAAGCGGTCGAAAGCTAAAATTCTGTTTCGAATACTTGAAAGATTCTAAAGGTTCTACAGAAATTCACAAAGCTAAAGTTTCTAAAACTTGTAAAAATCTGAAATACCTAAAAATCATCAAGATCGGAAAAATGCTTTCTTTAATTTTTGTAAATCCTAAAAGCACTGAAGTCCTTGAACACTATAATTATTATCTTATAAATCTTGGAGACTGTAAAGATTCAAGAGATTCCAAAAATTCCAAAGACTTAGACTCTTGAGATCTATAAATTTTAGAAAATCTAAAAAATTTATAGAGTGGGAAAAATGTGATAGACCTAGAAATATTGAAACTATTGGAAAAGGTTGAATTCCAAATTTTGGTTTAACTGGAGCCCTTAATTCTATAAATTTTGAAAATTATGCAAATTACGAAGATTCCCAAAGAAAATAAAAACCATTAAATCCCAAAATTCCAAAGTTTACAAATATTTGAAATATTTAAGAGGTTTCAAATCTTTCAAAATTTCGACACATTCTAAAAATTTTGAAATTTTGATACACTAGATTACTAGAATATGTGAATTGCAAATACACCAAAGATGCTAAATAAACTAAAGTTTTGGGGTCTAAATACCATCCAACAAAATCTTAAAAATTGTAAAAATTTGGAAGTACATAGAAATTTTAAAAATTATAAATTTTATAAAATTTATAGTAATGCACAAGTTGTCGCCTGAGAACTTGTTTGATCCACAGACCGGAACGCGCTCAAGCCAATGTCGACTCTAAGCGTTCAGAATTTCTGCGGAAAATAGTTACAATTTAGCAGTTTTTTGACATACAACTCTATTTTTGTTTAACTATGAATTAATTATTTAATTCTGTTCTATTTTGTATTAATTATTACATATTTTTGAGAAATCGATAACTTAAAAACCGACAAATCTAAAAATCGAAAAGTCGAAAAATTTTAAAAATCGAAAAACTGAAAAATAGACATATTGAAAAATATAAAATTTGAAACATTGAAAAATTCAAATATCGAAAAATTCTAAAATCGAGAAATCCAAACATGAAAAAATCAAACAAATAAAAATTGGAAAATCTAAAATTTAAAAATTCCTATAATAATTGAAAAATTGAAATATAGAAGAACTGAACACTGCAGAAATCGAAAACCCTAAAATTTTAAAATATCGGAAAGTCGACAATTGAAAAATCGAAGTATCCATAAAACAGTCGAAAAATTGAAAAATCTAAAGTTTAAAAAACGAAAGATTGAAAATTCAAAAAGTAAAAAGTCGAAAAACCAAGAAATCCAAAACTTGAAAAGTCGAAATATTAAAAAATAGTGAAATATCGAAAAATTGAAAAATAGAAGGAAAACTGAAATTGAGACATCGAGGATTCGAAAAATCAAAGATCGAGAAATCGAGGAGTCGAAAAACTTAAAAACCGAAATGGATCAAAATCGAAAAATCGAAAATTTAAGACTTCGGAAAATAATAATAATATACAGAACTGAAAACTCGAGAAATCGAAAAATCTGGAATTTTAAAGATTGAAAAATTAAAATATGGAAGAACTGAAAATTGAGAAATCGAAATATAAAACAATTGAAAATTTGAAAAATCTAAAGTTTAAAAAACGAAAAACTGAAAATCCAGAAAATAAAAAATCCCACAACGGAAAGAAGTATCTAAAAATCGAGAAATTAAAAAACTGGAAGATTGAGAAATCGAAAATCCAAAAAAGTGAAAAAAGCAAAGTCGGAAAAATGAAAAATCGTAGAATTGAAAAATAGAAGAAAAATTGAAGTATTGAAAAACTGAAATTGAGACATCGAGAAGTCGAAAAATTGAAAAATCGAAATAGACCAAAATCTAAAAATCGAAGATTTAAGACTTCGGAAAATTTAAAAATTAAAATATAGAAGAACTGAAAAATTGAGAGATCGAAATATAAAACAATCGAAAATTTGAAAAATGTAAAGTTTAAAAAACGAGAAACTGAAAATCCCGAAAATAAAAAATCGAAAAATCCAGAAGTCGAAAAATCGAAATATTGAAAAATCCCAAAAAGGAAGAAATATCCAAAAATTGAGAAATTAAAAAATTGGAAAATTGAAAAATCGAAAAACCAAAACAGCAAAGTCGAAAAAATCGAAATTTTTAGAAGTCGAGAAATGGGAAAATCAAAAACAGATTAATTGAGAATTCGGAAACCTAACAATTTAGCAACGTCGAAATTTGAAAAATTGAAAAATAGAAATATTGAAGAATTGAACAATAAAAAAATCGAAAAATCCAAAAATCCAAAGTTTAAAACATCGAACGATTAAAATATCGCAAATTTATTTATTTAAAAGTGAAGAATCGGATAACTGGAGAATCGAAAATATCTTAAAATTGGAATGTCGAAAAATTGTAAAGCCCAAAAGTAAAAAATCAAAACATCGAAAAAATTCAAACTGAAACATAGAATTCGAAAAATCAGACTATCCAGAAATCGGGGAGTGGAAAATCGACTATCAAAACAAACATCGAAACATTTGAGGTCGATAAATCGAGAAATCACAAAATTGAAAAATCGAAACATTTTAATAAAGAAAAATTGGAAAATTTAAATATAGAAGAATTGAAAAATTGAGGAATCGAAGTATAAAGTTGAACGAAAATTGAAAATCCAAAAAATAAAAAATCGAGAAAGCAAATAATCCAGGAGTACAAACGTCGGAAAGTCGAAAAATCGAAATATTAAAAATGCCAAAACTGGAAGAAATATCCAAAGAATTGAGAAATTAAAAAATTGGAAAATTGCAAAATCGAAAAACTAAAAAAGCAAAGTCGTAAGCTTAAAAAATCGAAAACTGAAAAATCAAAACACTGAAAAAGCAAATAATTGAAAAATTAAAGAAGTGAAAAATCAAAATTTTGGGAAGTCGATAAATGACTAAATAAAAAAAAGATTACTTCAGAAATATTTAAAAATCGTAAAATTGAAATATTGAAAAATTGGGACCTCTAAAGTTGAAAAATCGAAAAATCGAAAAGCTGAAAAATCTCAATAGAGTATTTATAAACCACCAGTATAGAACTATATATGTATATATATAGGCTTTCAATAAATATAAATTGGAAAATGTTGTTGATTATTTTTCCAAAAATAAAACTCATCACGGTTTTACCGTTTGATAATATAATTTGAAATGTAAATTTTGTCATTCGGGAACATTATGTATTAAAAATTGCTTAGAGTCGATATTGGCCTGAGTGCGCTTTGGTCTGTGGATCAAACAAGTTCTCAGGCGACGAAGTATCCAAATTTCCAAAGATTGTTAAAACTCTAAGGACTCTGAAACCTGTAAGATTCTAAACACTGTAAGTGCCCAAACATTAAAAAGGTTTTTAAAATTCCATTCCAAAGATTCTATAATTTGTAAAAAATGCATGAAATTTTAACATAACAAAAATTTTAAAGATTCCAAAGACTCGTAAACAAAACAAAAATCCTAAAAATCTATAAATCGTAAAAATCTGAAGAATGCTTGCTTTAATTTTTATAAATCCTACAAGTATTAAGGGTCTTGAACACCCTAGTTGTTAGTTATCTTATCATCTCAGAGATTCTGAAGATACCAGAGATTCCAACAATTTCAAAGATCTAGAGACTCTTGGGGTCCATTAATTTCACAAAATCTGGAAATATCTAGAAAGTGTGAAAAATGTGGAAAATCCAGAAATCTCGAAAACTAAAGAAAATGTTGAATGCTGACAAATCCGAAGACTTATGTTTTTATAACATTTAGAAAATATGGAACTTCTGAAAATTTTAAAAATGTACTCAATTCTAGAGGTTCTAAGCATTTTACTGAATTTGTGAAAATAGTCCAAACGCTGTGAAAGTTCAAAGTCTTCTCTAAATTTCAAACATTACAATGCTAATGACGTTATCGAAAAAAAGTTATATGGAAAAACTGACTAAAAAGATATAGACACGATGAAAAAAAAGTTGTCAAAATTAAAGTTGATAATAATTTTTCGCAGTTGTATTTGTTCGACTATACTTTAGGGGGTAGGGAAGTTCTGTCGAAATAACCAATTTTTTAATTTTTGTACTCGAACGTTCTATAAAAGAATACAAAGCATAGGTACAGTAAACTTTACACACCGTCAACATCTGCAGTGAACTTGGGTACTAAGGAAATAATGTCTTTCTCTCCAACGGCTTTCTCCATTTCATTTCGTCGTCTGTAGAGAGCGGATTTCTAGGTTTAATGCTTTTTGTGAAAAATGTAAGCACTTCAAAACTTTTTTATATCTGTAACTATAATACAATTTGGAGTCATTTGACACATTT